CAAACAACAAAATATTAAATATTAAAAAGAATTTTATATTTGATCCGCAAATTATCGACAAAGAAAATTATTATGAGTATATCAAATACAAATAATTAAAACTATGATGAGTATATCAAATCAACTCTTTATTATTTTTAAGTAAATTATTAAAAATGTTAATTTTTTTTAAAAATAAGTAGAAAACGAAATTGCACATTAATATTTTTAAATTGACTTAAAGAAAATATTCAAAGAAACAAAGTACACTTTATCTTATTTTACACTATTTTTTATTAATAATAAAATAAGAGAAATATATTTATATAATACACACTTTTTCTCTATTTCTTTTTTAAATAGGAATGTGTAGATCAAAGGGGTGTAAGTAAAATAATTGATATGAAAAAACCATTTCCTAACTGATAATAGTGTTGGAATGGTGTGTGTGGCAGGTGAGAAACTGGGGAAATTGCTAGCCTTATTTCCATTCTTGTACCTATCAGCTGGGACATGCACAACATTGATCATAATAGGAGGATCCACAGCAAGGACATTCTATCAAGTGGTATGTGGTGACTCATGCACTGCTAAACCTATGACCACTGTGGAATGGTACCTTGTGTTTACATGTGCAGCTGTGGTGCTATCACAGTTACCCAACTTGAACTCTATTGCTGGGGTATCACTCATTGGAGCTGTCACTGCCATAGGGTATTGTACCTCCATTTGGGTGGTCTCTGTAGCACAGGGTTCCCTGCCAGGGGTGAACTATAATCCAATCAGGACTGGGAGCAGTGTTCAAACTGCTTTTAGTGTGCTTAATGCACTTGGTATTATTGCCTTTGCTTTTAGGGGCCACAATCTCATCCTTGAAATACAGGTGTGTGATCATAATTTTCTATTCCTTTAAGTTTATTAACCACCACCTAATAAATGTTTTTTTCACTGAAATTATAAGAAAAATGAACAGAATAATAAATTGTGGTTGATTTATCTGTTGGGTACTTGTTCACTTGTCAGAGTCTTGTTAGTTGAAAATTGAAATGCCAATTTGAAGTTTCTTTGCTGTTTTTTTATCTTTGACTTTTTAATAATGAGATGTGTACATTGCTAAGTTGACAATATAGATCGCATTTAAAGTTGAAAGATGTTGAAAAACTTCAATACAGGCTGGGTCAGGCATACAACATTGAAGTTAGTGGATGACTTTATCTTCACTTTGCTATTGCATTAGTCCAGAATGACGTTAGAGGAGTTGGAAAAAAGATAAGGATAGCAATTTTAACCACCACGATTCAAATCTCAATTTTTCAATAACTTGAGCTAAACTTCAGATATTTAATTGGGTGTAACTTAATGATAAGCAAGTCCCCACCACTCAATTTTAAGATTCCCCCATCTCTTTCTTTTTTTCTTTGGGAGATTCAAAACATAAAATTAGTCAAGTTAAAAAAAAAAAAATTATTTCTCGTTAAATGGTCAATATATTCTTCAAATATGTCATCATCTTGATTTTTAAACGTTTATGTTCTTTGTTGTAGGCCACTATGCCTTCAAGCGAGAAGCATCCATCACACGTACCCATGTGGAAAGGAGTCAAGGTTGCTTACACGCTCATTGCTGCATGCTTATTTCCCTTAGCCATTGGTGGCTATTGGGCTTATGGCCAACTGGTATGCATCATATTTGGAACTAAAAAGGGTAAAAATGAAGGGGCAGATTATACTTACAAATTTTTTGTTTATAAACTCTTATAAACTACATTAAGTACGACCGGTCATACTTCAATCAAGAGTGTATGACTGTCATACTTATTATAAGTTGTAAAAAAAAAATTATAAACAGATCCTTCCCCAAAAATGAATTTTACAAAAAAAAAAGGGGTCAAATGAACATACTGATTTGGTTGGACTTGTCTTATGGTGTACCATACATTATAATTTATATATGACCCGGAATTTACAGATTCCTGCAAATGGAGGAATGCTCACAGCCCTATACCAATTTCACTCTCGTGATGTGTCAAGATTTGTGCTTGGGTTAACAAGCATTTTTGTAGTAGTGAATGGTTTGTGTTCATTTCAAATCTATGGCATGCCAGCTTTTGATGACATGGAATCACAATACACGAGAAGAATGAAGAAGCAATGTCCGTGGTGGCTCCGGTTAATTTTTCGGGTCTTCTTTGGGTTTCTATGCTTCTTCATTGGAGTGGCTATTCCATTTTTGTCGAGGCTTGCTGGTTTAATTGGAGGAGTTGCATTGCCGGTGACATTGTCGTACCCTTGTTTTATGTGGCTCAAGGTTAAGAAGCCAAAGAAGTATAGTTTGATGTGGTGTCTCAATTGGTTCTTGGGGACATTGGGGATGGGCCTGAGTGTCATATTGATTACAGCTAGTATATATGTTATTGTTGATACTGGTGTTAATATAAGCTTTTTCAATCCTCAGTAGTCTCACAGAAAAGGAAATTAAGAACTACTAGGGAAATTATATTTGGAGGAAATTAGGAAGATGATTGCTGAGGTTGTCGTTTTCTTTTTAGAAATGCAAAATTGTTACAGCAGTTTGTACTTTGTAGTGTATGCTGATTTTTCGAATGGAAAAACAATTATGATATTTGAGCATCAAATTTTATTTTATTTTATTTTTACATTATTCTTATTCTGCTTTCTTTTTAAATAATAAAACAACAAAACAGATATTTTAACACATACTTTCTTTATCTTTTCCTTCCCAAACTAGAAAAGTGTGATGGTGGTGTAAAATTTATGACGTGCAAATATCACACTACCACGAAAAGAAAAATATAAATGTAAGGTTGTATAAATTTTCTTGTTCTGGAAGTTGGGTTGGGATAGTCGTGCTCAAGCAGCCCAATAATAGAGTCGCATTGTCAAAGCAAATTCTGAAAAACACAACATTTAAAAAGAGGGTGCTTTAAGAAATGAACATCATGGCCAATCCAAATTCCAAAGCTATGGTGGGTAGTTTGATTTCGTGTTGGTACGATCTATTCCAATCTCGTGAGGGTTCATTTATGGCATAGAAAAGGGATGTGATACATATTAGTAAATCTTTATTCTAACAAATCTAACGAACTCCTCCTCCTAATAGGCAGCCAACAACTCGTGTGAAGTGGGCGGAGACAAATAGGCTACCAAGATTTTCCTTCTATTCAATTACACAATGTTTTTCATTTTTATTCCATCCTTTTCTTTGATTTAATGGTAATAAAATCGCATGTTAAAATTTCTTTATATCTATTTCTTAAAAAATTTATATGACAAAATTGGAAAAAATGTGTTTGTCATTTTTAAATGACGCAACTTTGTATTATTTTTAATAAAATTACTTGATTTTGATATATTTTTGCATTCTCTTTCCTCTACTTTTTTTTCTTTATAATTTTATAAAAAAGAAAAAATATAAAAAAATACTAAAAATAAATCAACACGAAGTAATTTCATTAAAATAACATAAAATTATATTATTTAAAATCATCTCCCCACAAAATTATGTGAAATTTTAACACTGAAATATCTACTTACCGAATTCGAATATTTCTCGGACGGTCGAGGCAGGTAAGAATTTCGGTCAAAGTCTTAAATTTGATTTTCGTTGTGCCCAAAAGAAAATGTGTACCCTCAACACGTAAGACGATAAGAACACTTTAAGGGGCTCTTTGGTTCTAGGATTCTCAAGATAGATAAATGAGAAGTGGGAAAGTAAGAAACTTTCGTTTGTCCAGTTGGATTTGCTGACTTATGTAGCTAATTGTGATTGCAGTGATTCTCATTTATCTATGTATTTGTGCTCAACTTGCTGGCCAAAGTTGCCATTTTGAGGGGTGGTATTGTAGAAAACCTCCACATTTGCCTGCTGTGCATACTTAAAAAGGACCAGCATACCCCTTGTAAACACAAACTTCCTTTTTTATAAAAATTATATGGACGTTCAAAAATTGATAAAGTTAGGGTTAATTTTGTAAACTCGCACGCATTTTCTCATCTACAGCCAAACATTGACTTTACAAAAGCTACCTAATTTTTCTTGTAAATTTTTTTCCAACCAAACAACTTTTCTTACATTTTCCTACCAATTTCACTTCCCACCTATTTTCCTATACATAACATTTCCCTATCATTCATAATATTTCTCCTCAACCAAACGCCCCCTAAAGCTTATACAAGAAGCATAGCAAAAAGGAAAACCAGTCGGGCTCGTGAATTGAGAAAAAAATAAAATAGGAGACTCCTACCAGTCAATATCTCCCCACAGTTTCGTTTTCTTAAATCCGCAGGCATCATTTTGCTATATCTTGCCAGCAACCCTGCGATGTAAGGCCAAGCTAGCTTATGCAACCATATCTCGACTCGATTGGTGATAATTACAGAATCATTATGATCATGGAATGCTGACAGCCTTGTAATCTCTAATTTTGTTATGTACCGCGATTGTGTCTACACGGATTGATTAGCTTAAAGGGCTGTTTGGTAGGGAAAAAATTTAGGATTCATGAGAAATTGAAATTGATAATCTTATTTATCCATACTTGAAATAAAAATTTTAAATTTTTTCAAAAGAATCTGATTTTTTCGAAATTTTATTTTATATAAATTTTTTTGAAAATACCATTTAGGAAGTGATATTTTAGGATTCTCATGGCAAAAAAAAAATTAACACAACAAAATATAGAATTAAGAAAATTAACTTAACATTTCCGAAAATATTTTAACATACCAAACAATTTTTGATAACATATCCGGGAAACACATTTTTCCACCATATTCTTTAAAATCATGATTCCCAAATAAAATAAAATAAAAATTATTCTACCAAATGCCTAAAAGCTAACACTCATAATGCCGCCAACTCATTTTCAAATGTATAACGTGTCAAATATTCGATGACGTGGCATCACCATACGCAAGCTCACCAAAGCAAGGAAAGAAATTGGTACTACCGTTTAATTTCTGCGCGAAGCTTGGTACATGCTGCTTCACCGGTTCTACACAGCAACGGAAAGAAAAGTCAGCTTAATTAGTTTCCCAATAACAGAAAGAACGTAAAAAAATGCTGAAATATAACAGACATTTAACAAACACAGTTTAACGCTACGAGACCAGCTAGGTAACTATTTTCACTATTTTTTTCCCCTTCTTTCAAGGCAAAATTAACAGTATGATGAGTGCTATCGTTCCAGGAAGACCTAAACCGAATTCTACGATCAAATAGTAGCAATTGCTATTCTCTTTTTGAGGTACGGAAACACAGAAACTCGTGATATTCCAATACATGCCTTCCATGAGCGTGTTGACCACTCGACTACTTGAACACTTCATAGATATAACATAAGCAAGAATGCAAAGGCTGCCACATCAAGTGCGCACAACCAGGGCCGCAGCTAGATACGTTGAAAATATGTACGTGGGGGTAAAATAATATTAACAAATGTTAAGGAAGCCAACGCCTCCCATGACATTAACGATGCGCCGCCACTGCGCGCAAACTTAAATACTCTATTGACGCTTGTGTTCCATGAGGAGAGTCAGTTTGATAATAGCCAGATACCCAGGTCTACAAACTAATAAAGTATAAAGGCAAAAGAACACACTAGCACTGCAACTGTACATGAAGCTAGAAACATCAACCTCCAAAATTTAGCAAAGAATGAATAACAAAAATCATAATAGCAAATAGCCTAAAGTTTACATCTACCCATCTAAGCAAACGGCAGCATTATCATACTTCAGTGTTCTCACAAACTGTTGGAGGAAAACTCTTGTACAAAAACCATCAGCAACATCGACAAGTTACAGTATCCAAGCATGTGTACGGCCTTGAATTTTCCTCTATCTGTTGAGGGGTAGGTAGTGGTTCCATACTGTATACGCTGCTCCTTGCACAGCAGAAGTTGTATAAATTTCTACAAACTCCTTTACTAAATGGATGCACTCTTTCTGGAATCGCCCTGCAGATTAGTGAAATGTGCTTACTAGAGATATCCCAAAAACTTAGTTGCCAAAAAAAAAAAAAAAAACTGATATCTAACCATTTACCATCACATCAGCATACATCTTGCCGATACATTAAAAGTTATACAAGTTTACAGCACCCAAAACAAGAATCATGTTCTATGAAAATGTTATCTTTAAATGATTTAAGGTAAAAATATGAAATAATATACAAAATCAGGAAACTTACTTATCTAAAGATAAAAATATGAAATAATAGAAAAACACCATTAGACTAACTTATCTAACCTTAGATAATTAATCCGTCTTCTCCTTACAAGTTCATAGGTAGTCTGATTTGTCAGAATAAGATAACTGCAGAGAAGATAAAAAAGCAGTGAAGCTCTTACTGTCTTGAACCGGGAAACAATATAGTCAATGTGGTGGAGACAAATGACCAGAGTCTAAAAGAGGAAGCACAACGTCAACACTTTGTTTTTCATAATGTTACATTGGAAGAACATAACTTCTAAGATTTAGAGTAGATTTAAATGATAGCAAACTCATTCAACAACTCATAAACCAATAAGTCATTCCACAATGCATCCTACTTTCAATCACTTTGCACATTCTTTCTAGTCAATAGTCATTTCTTCTTAACTTTGAATTTTTAAAATAGGTAAAAGGCTGAGATCCCAGCCTTTTACCTATTTTAAAAATTCAAAGTAGTAAAACAAGATTTAATGGAGTGGGATATAGATTGGCGGACAGTATGTCTTAGAACGGAATGGAGAAAAGCTATAAGTATGGTGGAGGGTTAGACCCGTTGTTATTCCTATGTTCCAGATGGTCCCTTTTTAGTCCTTTTCCCCTTCATTTCCCCCACTTCTTCTTGTCCCTTTCTTTTTTACTTTTATTTATTTATATATACATATATTGTTATTTTATTTTATCTTATTTTATATTTTTATTTTATTTGTTTATATTTTTTATTTTTTTTTGGCTTTTTTTTTTTTTTTTTTTAACTTTTTTTCAACCGTTTTGTATCTTTCATGTGGGTTCATCTACCACCGACCCCAATTAATTTGGGATAAAGGTGTTGTTGATGTTGATGTTGATGTTAAGGTAAAAGGCTGAGATCGGCAAAATTTGCCTCTCAAAACCTCCTAAATATCATAAATTGAATTCTCAAGGCCAAGAGTAATATATTTAAGTTTAACCCCTTAAAGCAAATATTTTATGGTCCAGATTGATCCACAGGGGGAACCTTGGCACAATGTTTGGTATTGTCGCAATATTGTAGCTTAAAGATGGAATGAAAAAGTTCAAAAATACAAACCAAATTACCAAAATGTATAGCACTTAGTACGTGGAACACAGAGAATCACATAGACAGCAATATTTCATATTTCGCACACATCAAAATCAAATAATGGTAACAATGGTAATTACAAGGATTACCTATGAAATAACAGTAGGAGAAGCAGAAAGATAAGACAAATTGATAGAGCGATCAAGAGTAGTATTATGATCGCATCCTGCCACCTGACAGCATCATAAAATTAAGATCTAATTTCAGATTTCAAAAAAAGTTACAGATTGAAAGAGCATTGGGCTTTTTTCCTTTAGTTTTTGGCAGATCTCACAATAAACTAAATAAGTAGGATTGAGAAAGAAAATTTATACAATCATTACCAATATTAGTTCAACTGATTTTTGTCCATATATATATATATATATATATATATATAATATATAAATTTAAGTAGTAAGGATTTGATTAATGAAGATATGACATCATTTTCATTTCAACAAGTCCAGAAGTTTCAACATTCCTCCTAAGTAACTCATAAGATATCATACCAAACCCTTGTAATGTGTGCCTTCAAGTATGAAATATACAAGACGCCAGTCCAGAGGGACAGTGCTGTCTCTTCACAAAGGTACCACCTAAAGTATTTTGACATGAAGTAAGAAAAATTTGTAGTGAGAGAAATATATTTATACTAAGATATATGTGAAACTGATCAAATAAGTAACTTCCTAGTACGAGGCTGACAACTTATTGATTATGGAGAACATACCCAAAATCTTCACCAAGATATATAATATTTCTTAAAATAAGCTATAAAAAAATCTCATTCATAAAAAAATCTTTAAGTGTTCAAGCAAAGTAGTAAACTACAATGCATAAACTCAAAAAATAAATAAAATTAAAAGCTTAGAACAATGATAATAAGAGCTTAAAACTATCTGTCATGATTTAATTCATACAGTACTTAGTAGGACCATAACTCAATAAGAAAATAAATGCACATATCCAGTCAAAATAAATGATGTAAGGATAATACATTTCTTGCTATCTATATAATAATCAACATTGAAAAATGAATACTGAGTGCATAACTGCATATTGCAACCAAAAGTGTTCGAACAAGTGTCATGACTCATGACTACGAAACAAACAAACAAACAAAGACACTCTACTGATAATTTGGGGTGAATTCATTTCCAGGTCACTGATCCTTCATCTAAATTTCAATACGAATTACAAATAATAATATTATTGAACTAAAATTTTATTCTTGGTAAAAGTGAAAATTCTTATCTCAAAATTAGATAACTCAGAAAAAATTTATATAGAAGAATCTTGATGCCAGAATACAAATGATGTTACATATTTCAACATAATTAACTCACCAAAATTGACAATGATTACCCTGGCCAATGCAGTTACCAAGCCAAACACAATGATGATCAAACTGAAGAACACACTTGTCACAATCATGACAATGCTTTGTCCGTGGAGGCTGCATAATGGCCAGCAACAAAATAATTTATCATCAAAGTTAAAAGGTTAAATTCTTATAACCCAACAGACAGCGGCCAAAAGAGAGGTGTCTAGTTTTCATTGCACAAAGAAGGAACTCCTGATGTGCTAAAAGTCATAATAAAACACAGGGAAAAGCAATTTGTAAGGTGCAGCTCAATCCACCATTTATCTGTCCATGCAAATATTGCTTTCTCATGCTTCTAGTACAAGCATCCAATCCAGCATGACAAAAAATATTCTAGAATCTTCACTGAAATTATACAATAACTTTTGGTCGTAAACTAATAAAACAAAACCCAATATTGACATCAAGCTCTCTGTTACAGGTCAGGCTGAATTTAGATTAGAAAACCAATACCCAAACAATGGTTTTACAGATACAAGATATGGAGTAGTATCTGGTAAAGGTTAGCAATATTATTTACAATCTGATGATAATCAAAGATAATTCAAGACATGACAGGGCCAATACTTTGTTCCTTACATCCTTATGGTTCTGTACAAAATGAAATGTTGACTACTAATACCATCAAATGAATGCAACACCGCCGCAACAGATGTATTGAAGAAGCAATGAAAAATGAAATGACTTATACAATAGGATGACATAATATATTATAGGATGTCATTCATAATACCTGCTCCACATTGCAGTAGGCGCATGTATATGTTCTGCAAGGAGAAGTGAGTCATAAATATTTTATCAATATTAAACTAACAGTTTATGAAATTAAAGATCCAAAGACGGTCCTATCTACCTGGCTAATGTTCCAGAAGGATACAAGGATGCCACCAACTTTGTCCACGATGTTGCATTATTTCCTGAAATATTTCTTCCCGTCTGATTTCCTTCCATGGCAACAATGAAGCTACCATTTCTGCTCGAAGCTGGTTGACTTTGCTTAAGCATTGGAAAATTGAATATAAACAGTTAGGTGAGACCAAAAACATAAATTTCCTTCATATGTTATCAGATCCTTCTTTCTAATAATAAATTTTAGAAGGGAAAAGAATGATTGCTGACTTTGATGTTTCTGATGTCTTTCTGTACACTACATTTCTCTCATTAACAGCCCTCATTGCATCAAGGACATAACTGTTCATAGAAAAGTAGCAAAGGAAAAAAAATCACATCAGGAAGATATAAATTTAAATATCATAGTTCCTTATCTTCAATGAATATTCATTTCATCCTAAGGCAGTAAATTGTTACCCTGGAGAGGAAATAGAGGTAACAAAGTATTGTATTAAAGTAACAATGTACATCAGCAAATATACAGCAGTGTACCTGACATCAAAGCAAGGAAAGAATAGAAAGTCAGAAAACTATAGCAATCATCTAAAACTGCTTGGAAGCACTAAATCAGACAAATATGCATAATACTATGTTAAACTAGATTTTTCCTTAATATCTAGAAATTTATCTAAAAGTGATATATTTTATTCAGACTTCATCATACTGCTGATATTATTTGAATGAAGCGCAGGAGCACTGTATTGCAATGTCAGGCAGATTGGCTTTTGAAACAAGGTAACAATTATGCTCACACCTAAATGATTTTTCAAAAGAAATACAAAATGGGAAAAAATTCAGCACCAGAGGTATAAAATTGAAAGTCATGACCATCCCAAACAAGTCATATTCTGCTATTCATATGGTCAGATAAGGTCAGAAACTGTCTCTGGACTAAGGCATAGTTGTCCTTCTCAGAAGGAACAGTGCCACCATCTTTATATTATGCACACGATGAACAATTGATAGACGCAATATAAAAATCATCTTCTCTTGTGTACCTATCTGTAAGAACTAATATAAAAAAAAATTCAATTGTATCTCAGAATTCATTGCATGTCAGTCAATACGATGTCTTCTGAACTAGTCCTAAATTACTAGTCAGCAGAGGCGGAGCCGAGCTCCCAGTGGAGTTCGGGCTAAAAATTATATATGTATTTATTTTTCTTAATTGTAGTTAGTTTATATCATAATAAATTTAAAGTATATTAATTACATAACAGCTGATCAAGCAACACTAAGAAAAGTTACAATTTTATTAAATATTTTTTAATTTTACTAAAAATAATTTATTTATTTTATAAATATGGAAATTAGACGCATATCCTAATACAACTTACCCAAATCTTTAACAAAAAATGTTTTAAGTTTTACATAGAATCAAATTACAAATTGTAGCCCGAGTCAAATTACAAATTTAATCCGGACCAAATTATAATTAATTATACAATTACATATAATAAGTTAAAATTTAGACCGGACGGAGGTCACCACAACGTTGTATGTGGCTCAGCCACTGCTAGTCAGTTTAAACCAAACCCACTGAACTGCAAGCAAATCAGCAACATCCAGAAAATGCAGCTTCAATTTTGTCAAAAATGACACAAAACACACAATGAGGGAAAGGAATACCTACCACGGTTCTTTCTTAGTCTTTTCTATCAAATCTCCATCAAATAAGAATAGAACACCGGCATAAACCAGATGGATTGTCACTAGGGCGAACTTCAAGCACAAGGAAGACCTTCGACCTGAAATTCAGTACCAAAATTCAGGAGAGAAAAAATCGCGGAAAATTTTCAGAAAAAATGAAATTTAGAGTAGTCCTACACAGCATTCACCATTCAGTATGCAAAATCGGATAAAACACATTAAACAAAAAGGAAATAAAAAAATCAAGTACTAAATCAACTACAGCCTCTGCTTTCTCGGCAACCAAACAGAGTGTTACGGAAGGATTATTGAAACGCACCGGGATCGGCGAGACAGGGAAAAATCCGGAAGCAGCGATCCATTGGTCGATCCCAAGGAAAACGCAGAGGGCTGCATATATCAACGATCTTCATCAAATTAAAGTAAAACCGAGGCAGGAAACGATGCGCATCGGAGATTAGCGAGTGTTTGTATTCCAGGGAAAACAATTTTCTCACTGGAATCAAACTTTCCAGAAAAGAATGACCCAACCCGAAAAACCACAATAGTGGGAGAGAGCGAAAGGAGTAAAGAGCGGTAATGAATTATAATTTATACGAAGCAACTAGTTTATCTGTCCAACTCTTAGCTTGAGAAGGGGGGTGCGCACTGCGCATCTTGCGCGTAATTTAGCGCTCTCTAGGCGTTTCCATTTCCCCGGAGAATGCAAGATGAGATCGTTGCGAGACTGTTAGTTACTATTACCTAACACAACAATCGTAAGAATTATTTCTATTTCCAATAAATCGAAGAATTTTAAGAAATCAAGCATCTCATAACTTTTTTTGATATTGTTATATCAGGTATTAAATCTCATTCATTTACAGATTTTTTTTGGTTTTACGTGTTTGTTAAAATTAGAATGACATGATTATGTTAAAAAAAATTGGAAGGATCCATTTTCGAAATTTTTTTTTAATTACTAACATGGTCTCTCATGGAAATAATTATTAGATTTTTTTTTTAGAAAATATTTTTTCGTCATTTTAAATGACACAAAATTTACTCTTTTATTAACATTAATCAATTAATTGATAGTCTACTTTTTTATTTTGATTAGTCACCTGACAATTGACATGATTCATAACACAATTACTATTACTAGAGCCGGCAAAACGGGCTCATCTCGGCTAGCCGACCCGCTTCACCCACTAAACGGAGCGGGACGGACTCATTTTTTGGCGGGTTGATGGCAGGCATATGCGAGTCAATGCGGGTCAATGTAAAATAAGCTCGGGCTGGCGGGCCAACCTGCCAAGCGAAGCGGGCCGCCCACTTTGTCACCTCTAACTATTACCTAAATTTAGAATCTTTCTCATAATTCTGTACATATTTCACAACTCTTAATAGTCTTTATATCATGTTACAATTCTAATTTATTGTCTCATTACTGCTCACATGACCTATGCTCAACAATGTAGAGCAACCCATCAATTTTCTTGCTCACTCCTCTCGGTGGTTGTAGAATATTCATTACATTGAGAATATTACCACTCAATCTATTAATACTTCAATATGTCACGAGAAATGTCGTCATTTGCTGGTTCACGCTGTCAGCACACAAAGACCACCCGATGAGCCCCAACTCCGAGCGATGTCCACCTGAGACTTCCAAGAGCTATACCTCTTAGGATCCAATCCCCAAAGGGAAGCCCCGAACAATTTCACAAGCACACTACTATGAGTAGTATATATACCATTTGGTTATAATTTCTTATACACTTTCATTACTATTTCACGTAAAATTATACAATTTAGATATGCTATCCATTTTACCCATGGCAAGTCTTGCCAATTAATTAGGATTGTTGGAATTTTGAATTCCTCTAAACCTTATGGTGATAACTATCACCTACAAGCCAAGATCCATCATACCAAATCATAAAGAAAAATAAGAACAACATAAAGGTGGAGGCATACATGTCTCCATTGCAGCGGAATAACTCTTATCTTGTCTCTTGGGGTTTGTAGTCTTCCTCAGTCAAATCACCCTAAAACTGAATTCCTTAGTGTGCCGTCTCTCTCTTGATGGGGAAGAGAAACTTGGGTTGTTCATTTGACGTATTGGGGACCATAACCCTTATATAGTATTTTTATCTTTATTGTTGGGCCAATAAGCTCTCATTATACCTAGTTGGCCCAACACCGGTATCCACTCATTCAGCCCATACTCACTTAGGAATCTATTTGGGAATATTTACCTGATCACTTTAATTTACCCAATATATATATAAATAGCACAATATAATTATTAATATAATATGTGACCCACAATAATTATTAGAAAATATAATTTTCTAACAATCTCCCACTTGGGCCACATGTTAACTTGAGATAATTATATCATATTTCTTTAGTGCGCAACTGTATGCTATTTTTTTTTAGATTCCTCCTTAGATACAATCTGGTCCACCTCCTATATCAATATGAGATCATGGCGGCTTTTGTCACTTTCAAGCGTAACTAAACCTTCCATCGTCATCGCACCAATATATTCAATGACATAGATCAAGTATGGATGAGTGGCATGGAAATTACATGCAATGTGATCTTACCATGCCTAATTCCAACTGGTCCTACTTTAATCTTTATGAGATCAATCCTAAATTTTCTGCATACACAAAGCAGAAATACAAGCACAAAATTTAATACATTCAGAGGGAAAATAACATTGAATTCTTTATTTTGCAGAAAATTTAATCTTCATAGAACACTAACATAAAGAACTCCCACTAAACCGTAGTGTCATCGAACAAAACAACACCCATATGAGCAGTATGCTCGTGAAAGACCTTAGGCACTAAGCCTTTAGTAAGCGGATCCCCAAGCATGGAGTTATTCCTTATGTGTTCTACGGAAATCTGACCACTCTGAACTCTTTCTTTAACAACCAGAAACTTTATATCGATGTGTTTCAATTTTGAAGAGCTTCTGTTGTTGTTGGAGTACAACACTGCTGACCTGTTGTCACAATAAATCTTCAGTGGCCTTTCAACACCACTCACTATATGCAGCCCTGTGACAAAGTTTCGCAGCCATACCCCATGGTTGGATGCCACAAAACAAGCTACAAATTTAGTGGCCATAGTAGAGGAAGCTACGAGTGTTTGTTTAACACTCTTCCAAGAAATAGCTTCTCCAGCCAACATGTAGACATAACCTGATGTGGATCTTTTACTATCTTGGCATCCAGCAAAATCAGAGTCAGTATATCCGACGATCTCTAATTGATCTGACCTCTGATATGTAAGCATATAATCTTTTGTTCTCTTTAAATACCGCATAACCCTCTTGGCTGCTTTCCAATGATCCATTCCTGGATTGCTCAAGTATCTTCCTAACACTCCCACTATCAATGCTATATCAGGGTGAGTACAAACCTGGGCATACATAAGGCTTCCTACTACCGAAACATAAGGTACCTTTGTCATTTCTATCATCTCAAGCTTACCTTTAGGGAATTGGGCAAGACTAAACTTGTCTCCCCTAGATATGGGCGTATCTCCTGACGTACAATCCTTCATGCCAAATCTATCCAAAATCTTTTCAATGTAGGCCTTTTGTGATAACCGTAGAATACCTTGAGCGCGATCTCGAAGTATCTGTATTCCTAAGACAAAAGATGCATCACCAAGGTCCTTCATCTCAAAATCTTTAGTGAGAAGATTCTTGGTTTCATGCAATAAGCCTATATCGCTACTGGCAAGTAAGATATCATCAACATATAGTATCAGGAATATGAATTTACTTTCACTGAACTTGTGATACACACAATCTTCCACTAAGTTCACCTCAAAGCCATAGGAGATAATAACCTGATGGAATTTGTGGTACCATTGACGAGAAGCTTGCTTAAGGCCATAGATGGACTTTTTCAATTTGCAAACCATAGACTTTGAATCTCCCAATACAAAGTTTTCTGGTTGCACCATATAAATTGTCTCATCAATGTTGCCATTGAGAAACGCTGTCTTTACGTCCATTTGATGTAGCTCCAAATCCAAATGAGCCACAAGCGCCATTATTGTCCTAAAGGAGTCCTTCGTAGAAACCGGAGAGAAAGTCTCTTTATAGTATATGCCTTCTTTCTGAGTGAAACCTCTAGCAACTAGACGTGTCTTATATCTTTCGATGTTTCCATTTGAATCTCTTTTGGTTTTAAATATCCATTTACAACCAATGAGTTTCGCACCTTTAGGCAACTCAATAAGATCCCAAACGTCGTTGTCTTTCATAGATTGCATCTCATCTTTCATGGCATCAATCCATTTATGAGCATTAGAGCTTTCTAAGACTTGTTGGAAGTTGATTGGATCATCTTCCTTCAAGCTTAAAATATTTTCATGCTCTTGAAGAAACACAATATAATCATCCGGAATTGCATTTCTCCTTTCCCTAGTGGATCTCCTTTTTCTGGCACTTCTTGAGTTTGTTTTATAGGTGGCATAAGGGGTGATTCATTATTGTCTTGATCCAAAACAATGTCAGGGACCAAAGCCTGTTCCATAACAATGTCATGAACAGGGACCTGATCATTAATTGCTTGTTCCGTAATTGCATCTTGAATGATGACAATATTAGGAAGAGAAATATTATTTTCTTCCTCATCAAAGACAACATTCCTTATTTTATCTTCCCCCCAAACTCAACATCCTCAAGGAATCTGGCATTTCCCGTCTCCAAAAAAGGATCTTGTAGTGGGATTATAAAACTTAAAGCCCCGAGAGCGTTCAACATATCCAACAAAATAGCAGCTGATTGTTCTTGAGTCCAACTTTCTTTCATTTGGCCTATAAGGCCTTGCTTTTGCTGGACAACCCCAAATGTGTAAATGCCTTATGCTAGGTTTCTTTCCATTCCATAGCTCATAAGGGGTTTTTGTCACTGCTTTGCTGGGAACCCTATTAAGGATATAAACTGCAGTCTTTAGTTCTTCTCCCCAAAGTGATTCTGGCAATGAAGAATGACTAAGCATACTCCTCATTATGTCTTTAAGAGTCTGGTTTCGCCTTTCCGCAACACCATTCATGCTAGGTTTACCTGGCATTGTGTATTGCGGGACGATTCCACACTCCTTTAGGAAGATCGCAAAGGGCCCTGGACGTTGTTCACCTGATCCATCAGATCTACCATAGTATTCACCACCACGATCAGATCTAATGGCCTTAATTTTCTTGCCTAACTGAAGTTCAACTTCAGCTTTAAATTCTTTGAACACATCCAATGATTGTGACTTCTCTCTAATCAAATATAGGTATCTAAATCTTGAATAGTCGTCTATGAATGTGATAAAGTATTGTTGACCATTCCAAGAGGCTATAGGAAATGGTCCACAAATATCCATATGAATCAATTCTAAGACGTCTGAAGCTCTGTTGGAACCTATTTTCCTTATGTTTGTCTGTTCCCCTTTATGCATTCAATGCACACCTCAAAATGATCCAGATCAAGGGGTTCAAGAATTTCATCAGTCACAAGCCTCTGAATTCTCTGTTTAGAGATATTACCTAAACGCTTGTGCCACAGAACCAGTACCAACAAACTAAAGTGAGAGTCATACCCTTCCTTTCGCGCCATGCCTTGTATTTGGAACACTCTTTCTTCATGTGTCCAGATTTCTTACAAAAGAAGCAAGTGAATTCCTGGTCCTGCTTCTTTGGCAAAGCATCCGCATTATCCTTA